CGATTGGAAAAAATTTGTCAACTTATATTAAAATCGAACAAAAATCGAATAAAAATCGAATAATCGAAAAGTTGACAACTAATTAATTGCAAAATTTTTAGCAATTTGTATTACTAATCTGATAATGTCATTAAACAATGAATGGCACAACTAGCAAAATCGTTGAACAATGAAGCAACTGACAACTCTACTATATCCTATATATTTTCATACTCACAATCTCAACAACTTACTCAATCAACTAATCAACTACAGCCTAAAACTCCTCTTTCTCAACCCAAACCCCAAACTATAGTCCCGCCCTCTACTCCTAGTACTATTGACAATTTCTTTTAACACTTTATTTTAATACCCAAACCCCAACCAAACTCTCTTAATAACCTTTTTCTTCTTACTCTTATACAAGAAATCTTCTCTACAAACTTCCCTAGTACAAACATGAAAATTGACCAACCTATTATCTCCCAAAAGCCCTCAGCTACCAACTTTACAAACAATAATACTACCAAATCCTCAAACTCTAATATAACCCAACCTCCTAATAATACTCATCCTTCTATAAATAACTCCAAAAGCAAAAAGAAAGAAAATAATAACCAACTTATCTCAACTACTACACCCTATCCAAATTCTCAACCTGCTCTTGAACCCAAATCCAAATCTAATCTATTTTTTGACTAGTTATTTAACTTTTCCATTACCAAAGATATAAAGCCTAACACAAAACTTCAAACCAAACTCTCTCATCATCTATTTATATTTTTTAAAACTCACCTCTATGATTTCTTTCCTGGAAGAGAAATTAAACCTACAAAAGCAAACCAACCAACTTATAAAGCCTCTTTTAAACATCTCCTCCATCATATAGCTAGCTCCTAACTACAATTTTTAACTGATATTATCTTTGAGTATAACTCCAATATTAGTTCCAATACCACTATTCTATTTACTTATCTCGAAACTACTCTTAAAACAATTATTTACCAATTTACTACAGTTCTTTTTACCAAATTAAACTACAAAGAAATCTTTGCCTCACCAGTTACAATCCCACTATACAAGGCCCAAAATCGTCTACAACTCTGCTTAAACATTGCAAGACTATATCTATATCTTTCCAATAATTATCAAACTATTAATTATAAAAAATTTGCTGAAGACCTAAACATTCCAAAATTGAATCTTCTATTGAATGTTTTGATAAAGATAAACCTTACTTCGACATTAAATCTAATTCATGATTTAATATTTACCTCTTATTCAATATCTCTAAAATACTCTTTCTATACCATTACTATACTCCACCTCTAACTAACTCTTTAAACATTTACAAAGAATAGTTTAATAAATTCTTTCCAATTTATTCTTGCCAATTTGACACCTCACCTAATGAAAAAGAAACATACTTGCTTCTCAAAAACAAAATCTGCTATCAATTTGTTTCTGAACTCTGCAACCTCTTACTACCTAACTTCAAATTTCAAGAATCCCACAAACCACTTCAATACCAATATGAAGCTACCAAAGCTACCAACTTCCACATGTTAACTTGTAATAACAAAGATTGCAAATATCTAAATAAAAAATTTCTTTTCAACAGAGACCAACTATACAAAGATATTCTTAAAAAATCTTACTCTTTCTATCTCAAAAAAGAATCTGAAATTCTTCTAGAACCCCATCTTAACTTTTCTATCTTCTTCATTAATACAAAACACAAAGCTACTCTCAAAACAACTATATCTACTAAGCTACTTAAAGACCTAGCCAAACAAGCAGAGGAAGTAGCTTGTAAACTCAACAATATTACCTCTAGCTCAAATCACTGCAGAGTTTATTTTTACAAATATCTAGCATTATACTACCAAATCGCACTAAAAAACTATAATATTCCTAACAATTCTAAGCAAAAGGCTATCAAATGAGCTACACTCTCAATTGTTGATACTTATTTTCTTGTCAGAATTATAATCTACTTTGACTGTATTCAAAACCAATCTTATACTTTCTCTCAAATAATCAAATATTACAAATCGAAAACTTGCAAGGAATCAAAAAAGTTGATTGTGGGCTACGACATTGTGTTGGATTAACTTACGATGGAATCTGTTTTGGATGGGGAAACAATAAATATGGACAACTAGGGCCATTACAGAAAGATTCAGAAAATTATGATGCAAAAATATTAGAGCAGAAGAATTTAAATATAAGTGGATTATCTGAAAAAATTAGGTCAGCTAAAAAAGACGAATGCTACTTTAAACCAATTAAAATTTTAATTGGATTTACAGAAAGAATTGAAGATATTGCATGCGGACAACACCATACACTTGTTTTGACTTGCATGGGACAAGTTTATTCATTTGGCCTCAATAAGTATGGTCAACTAGGATATGCCTCACCATTAAAAATTCAAAATTGTATGATTCCTAAACAGATAACAAAACTTCCTAGCAAGGTTGTTAAAATATCGTGTGGCTGGAATACTTCTATGGTTCTTTGTGAAGATAATAAAGTTTTAATTTGGGGTAGAAATGATCATGGACAATTAGGAAAAGTGAATCCAGAAATAAATCAAAATAAAAATGGTGAAAATGAAAACGGATATATTATTCAACCTCTTCCATTATATTATCTTCCACAATACGTTTTATTTCCTAACTCTTTACAAATTCAA